AGTGTTTTAAGGGGAAAATGAGCTGGGACAGGGGGGACGGGGAACTACATGTAGGGACTTGTGCCCGCATTGCTTCATGTCTGTCTGTCTGTCTGTCCATTTGAGGAAACTGGCGAATGTGCATGAGGGAGTGCAGGTGTGTGAGTGTGTTCGGGCCCCGAATATACAGTCTATAGGTGAGTGCTTGGAGAGAATTCACATGCGTACCTGAGCGTCTGTTTTTACCTCTAAATGGGATTTCCTTTCCTTACGTGTGGACCTCCGTCCGATGCTTCCTCTGTGCTGCTGTGGTCCATCTTTGACCACAAACACACACAAACAGACAGCACACACTCTTCCAGGGTGTATTTTCTCTCCCCCGTGTCATTTCTCCTTCGCACCGAGCACCTATTTCTAGCTCTCTAAGGATGGCTTTCATGCAGGAGAACAGAGTGAAGAAGTCAAGGCAGAGTTATGACAAGAGCAGACCGCAGCTTGACAGATCTGGAGATCACACAGAGAGGATGCCGCGGTCCCTTAACAACTGAACTGCGCTGCTGTAATGTATAATGTGTTGCAGCTGGAAGTTTGCCGTGCATACCTTGTACCACCAGCTTTGTGCGTTTATGTGTGCATGTGGCGTAATTTCTGATGCCAGAGGTGGACTCGACCACAGTTGTGACTTATGAAAGAGCGGCTGGATATCGTGCCCCCTGAATGCCTGCGCACCTATAGCGCCTTAAAGGAAAAGGGGAGCGGCGGGGTGCTGGGAGGCCCCACAGAGGTTCATTCAGGTTGCTGTGCATGTTAGAGAGATGAAGTCTTGTAAATGGCTGCCAGTAATCGTCCCTATAAAAAAAGAGCAGCTGCGTCCAGGGCTGGTTGTAAGCGAGGCGGCTGTACTTTGCCTCCCTCCACTGCTTGACGTTCAGCTGAGCATGCAGCAGGGGAGTGTGTTAGAGTCCTCTCAGTGTAAATTTGCGTATGTGCCACTGCTTGTTTACGTGCGCAGAGGTTGCCCTGGATATGCACTCTGCTCTGGATAATTTCCAAGTCCAATCTATATTGCCTCCAGCCTCTGGAATGTACCTTTGCTCCTGGGAAATTTCACCTGAATCACTTGCCCGTGTGAGTGTGTGCGCACACGAGCAACCCGACCATAAATGTTCCCGCTGCTTCTAATGGGTGTATTACAAGAGCTCGTGTCAAATAACACACGAGCTCAACACTAAAAACATCAAGACGCAGCCCACTAATGGCATCAGCTTTGTCATCATAGACACTGATGAGCTTCAGTTAGTGAGGCCTACTTCCACCCTGAGGAGGAGGGAGGAGGAGGAGGAGGAGGAGGAGGAGGAGGAGAGCACTCTTTACTCTACAAAGGGCCTGCTCCCTGCGTCCATGACTCATTGATATGGTTGGGTGGCGCTGGGGGAGACACCAGGTTAAGATCTGTGTTTGTTTCTCTGTCGCAAGGCAATCCGCTCTGTAATCCACTCACTCTTTGGCATCGCGAGGCGTCACAGCACGGGGAAGCCCAGCGGAGAGAGTGCAATAGCTTTCATTGGAACGCAAGTGCAGATATCGCGACTGTCACAAATATGCAGCTATCAGTGTGCTGAGTTTCTATTGTCTGCTATCTTTTTATGGTCCAACAGCACATTGAAGTGTGAGATTCTTTGCCTTCGTTGCAGGGTCACAGTTCAGCTGCACTGGGATCAAGTTGAGATTGAATTATGGACGCTAACGTGTGTGTTCCAACACTTACGATAACGAGACACGGAGGCTTTGTGTTGAGCATTAACTGTAAAAAAAATGTAATTAAAAAAACGTAACGATATTTTTCCAATTCTCCCTATTTTGTTAAATTAGACATGATAACTGGTAAAATCATGGGAGGAAAAAACCATCTTAACTGAAATGAAACAGGCCAAAACTGTCATTTTTACTGTATGTAAATCAGTAATAAAAAATAATAGTTCTACTGACATTTATCATTATTTAAAAAAAACAAGATATATGTAAAAAATGTTAAATCAGCAGATTCATTAACAGCTTTTGTTAAATTACAAATATTTAGAAAAAATCACAGAAAAAAATATTAATTAGTGTGATGACTGTAAAAACAAAGAAATAATGAAATAAAAATAAAACAGGCCAAAACTGTGCATAATGTACACATCATTTTTACAAATAGTAATTAATTCTTTTACAATGTGTGACCAAAAAATTACACTGTATTTATATCTGATGAAGAAATATCATTATTTTACAGATATTTAATAATATTTGTAATATTCATTTTTTATTTTTTTTGTATTTTTTTTTTACAGCTTTTAAACATTGTGTTGATATGTTTGGATAGATAGACAGATAGATAGATAGATAGATAGATAGATAGATAGATGGATAGATGGATAGATGGATAGATAGATAGATAGATAGATAGATAGATAGATAGATGGATGGATGGATGGATGGATGGATGGATGGATGGATAGATAGATAGATAGATAGATAGATAGATAGATAGATAGATAGATAGATAGATAGATAGATAGATAGATAGAT